TCGAGAGGCAGGGCCAGCTTTCCCAGGACCAGTGAAGGGGTGAGGGAGGCTTAGCATGGCCCTCTGATTTCATCAGCATGGTTCCTATGGCCCCTGAGGGTGACACAGGCCACAGACGTCAACACAGATCCCAGCTGCAGCTGAACCATGGACTCAGACATGGCCCTCAGCAGCAGCTGGGGCTCAGTCAACATCTTGGCTCTAGGTGGAAGCACTGGCCACTTAGATCTGTATGGCCCCAGCTGCAGCATAGACCCCAGATTCCAACAAGGCCACAGGCACAACCTGTAGTCTGAAGTTTCTGCCCTGCCTGGTCCTGCAGCTGGTTAGTCCCAAATAAACAGCACAGAGACTTATATTAATTATAAACGGTTTGGCTGATGGCTCAGGCTTCTTATTGGCTAGCTCTCTCTTAATTATTAACACATTTCTATCAATCTGTATATCTCCACGTGGTCTTGGCTTATCGGTCATGCCTGGGTCTCTTGCTTCCTTGGCAGTTCCATGATGTCTCCTCACTCTGCCTACCTTTCTCTATCCCTGTTTGGATTTCCCACCTGGCTTAATCCTGCCTGCTGTCCATTGGCCAAAACAGCTTCATTCATCAACCAATAAGAGAAACATATATTCACAGCATACGGAAGGACATCCTGCATCAACAAACCCAATTTTTGTAGTGGGAACACTCTTGTTCCTACAACTAGGGGACCCATCCACTAAGCATGTAAATTCTGTATTTCTATTTCAAAAGATTAACTCCCACATCATTCCTTTCTCCAATACAACCAGACATTTATAGTGGTACCAGTGAGCAAAGGTGAAGATGAATATGGATTGCTGGTCTGTAGTCACACTAGCTAATAACTCCCCGTGTGTAAAGGGAAGCCTTCCCGCTAGCCTGGTTCCAGAGCCGCATCAGTCCCAAGTAACACACAGGAGGCTATATTAATTATGAAGCTGTTGGCCTTGCTTGTTTCTTACTGGCTAGCTCTGACTTAAGTATTTATCCCATAATTGTTAATCTAAGTATTTCTCTTACCGGAGAATAGTTCTGGGCTTCCTACCCCAGGGCGTTACATCTTGACTTCTGTGTTTCTCCTTCCCAGTGTCCTCCTGGACTCCTAGTCCCACCTATCTTGGTTCCCTATTGGCCAACAGTGCTTTATTGACATATACACAGGACTTCCCCCATCACCTGTGTCTGTCTTCCTCAGTTTCCAGTCCAGGCCTGAGTGTGTTGGGGGCCGGACCATGACCCCATATTCATACCCACGGGGTAAAACACAAGATTCAGGAGGAGATAGAGGGGCGGGGAGTGGAAGGGCCTGGAACCCCAATGAAACCTTAACTTTAATGGGACCATAGTCTTGGAGACAGTCCATTTGACAGTGACATCTGTGGCTTCCACTTTCTTGACCTGGGTGTAGAGGATCCATGATGTAAAGCCAACTGTCTTCACAGTCACAGGAGTGGAGAAAGTCACGGTGTAGGGTCTGTCCTTTACAAGTTGGTTCCAGTGCCCCGTTGGCTACTAGCTTGGGCTTGGTATCACTGGGCTCAAACAGCAGAAACTGACAGCGGGTCTCAGAGGCCATCTGGGTCTGTTAGACAGTCCGATGAAGGGCATTTATGAAGGATTGGAGGAGCTGCAGGGACTTGAGGAAGGAATGGTTAGAGAGTTTTGCTGACTGCTGGTCTCTGAGCCTGGGAGGCAGTGGGGCAGGTCTTCCAAACATAACCTAATAGGAGGCCAATGCCCCCATATGGGGTGCAGCAGGCCTGAAGCAAAGAAAAGGAAGGGAGGTCTGTGTACCCTTTCTTTGCTGGGCTCTAATGAGAGTTTTGAGTTTCTTGTAACGTTCTGTTTATTTTTTTCTACCTGACCAGAACTCTGAGGTCTAGATGCACAATTGTTAAGAGAAGCTTCCCCAACACACAATGAAGTTTTCAGTCTTTGTCTAAAGCTTTAGTCTATCAGATTTTTTGAGAGGTTTTGCCTATGAAAGTAAGGCCGCTATTGGTCCCCATTTCTAGGGGAAGGCCAAATCAGGGAACCACTTCCTGAATGGGCTTTTAAGCTACTATTTGAGCAGTTTCAGTCCTGGTGGGGAACACTTCTACCCACCTGGAAAAGGTAGCTATAGAACTAACAAGTCCTTTTATCCTTTCCTGGCAGGCCCATCTCAGTGAAGTAAGTTTTCCAGAGTTCACCAGGGTGTTGGTCTGTCATTTGGACCCCTTCCTGGGTAAAGGCTCTCTGTTTTGGATTTACTTGAGCTCAAACCTGGCATCTGATTGAGACATCTTGCACTAGGCTGTCTAGGTATAACATACTCAGAAAGTTTTGTGGACCTTAGATAAGTAACCTGGTTTAGGTCAGGTCCCAGAGGACTTCCAGGGACAGAATGATCTTTCCCTCTGGTGTCCACCAATCTGTGGGTTTGAGCTGTCCAGTTCTTCTTTACCAAGGAGTCTCAGGCAGCAGCACGTGGGGCTATGCCATCATAATATCAATAGGCCCCACTGGTCCTAGGGCCGTTTATTGGGCAGCCAGGTCAGCCCAGCAGTGGGGGACAGCAATTCATAGGACATGCCAAATAGCCTCTTGGAGGGCCAAGGGCTTTTCATCCAACCTCCCTTTCTCCCTCCCTCTCTCCCTCCTTCCCTTCCCTTTCCCTCCCTTCCCTTTCTTTCTTTCCTTCTTTCTTGATTTTTTTTCAAGACAAGGTTTCCCTGAGTAACAGTATGGCTATCCTAGAACCTGCTCTATAGGCCAGGCTGGCCTCAAACTCACAGAGATTCGCCTGCCTCTGCCTCTGCCTCTGCCTCCTGAGTGCTGGGATTAGATACCACCACTACCTGGCATTTTTCTTTGTTTTTAATATCCTTTCCCTGCAGTGGTAAGAAACCATCTTTCTCTATAGATCCTACTGTAGACATGCATTGTGGTAAATGCATAGCAACTGCTCCTGTATAGGCTTCAGCCCAAATCATGGCTTCCACATACCTGGTCTCATCTTTTATCGCATGACAGGTCATGGATGAGCACCTGCAGGTTGTCATCAGGCAAGAGAGTAGCAGAATTGATGGCAGTGGGTTTCTCAAACTGGACTGACTCATGGGTGGGCCAGGAGTAAGGCCTGGTACTGGGTCACACATGCATTAGCCAGTGTTCTGGTGTTCCTCAGAAGGGGGCCACACCTGCATCATGGGACATTGTGACTATAAAAGCCTGACCCAAAGTTAACTTGCTTTTGTTATTATTAGACTAGTAATAGCCCGTGAGGCTCTTAGACAGGTGGGCCATCCTGTGGCTACAGGGTCCGATAGTTGGGACAGGTTTGTCACAGGGTGTTCCACGGCCCAAAGTTAGGATTAACACTCCTTTTGTCTTTCGTTTCATGGACAAATGGATGAAATATCTGGAAATGCTGGGGCTGGAGCCCAAGTCAGTTGTTTTTAAATCCTCAAATGCCTTTTGTTTAGTTTCAGTCCAGACTAGCGGCTCAGTGCCCCGATTTGAGCTGGTGTGTAGAGGCCTTGCTATTTCCACAAACTCTGGTATCCAGAGGCAGCAATACGTAGCCAGAACTTGGAATTCTTTTCTTTTTCTTTGCAGGGTTTCTCTGTATTGTTTTGGAGGCTGTCCTGGAACTTGCTCTGTAGACCAGGCTGGCCTAGAACTCACAGAGATTCACCTACCTCTGTGTCCCGAGTGCTGGGATTAAAGGCGTGTGCCACCAACAGTGGCAGAACTTGGAACTCTTGAACCTGTCTCTTAGTCTTTGGAGTTGTGAGCTGAAGGGTGATAGCAGCAGTCCTGCTTTGAGACAGGCTCCTTTTGCCTCCCTTCAGTCAAGATGGGTAGCCTCTGATGAACAAAGTTGGGGTTTCTCAGCCGATATTCTGTAGCCCCAGGTCTGTAAGCCTGGCAGCCACCCCTCAGTGACTCTTTTATAGTCTGTTTTCCCTGGAAACCTCTGACCCAGGGGCAGGAGGTTAGCATTCAATGTCACATCAAACAGGGTTGGAAACTTTTTAAATCCCGGGGCAACCTGGCCCATGCAAGCCACCTGCAGCAAAGACGGTTGGTTGACTCGCCTCGGCCAGTGGTAGGCTGGAGAACACACCTTTCAGGTCCAAGACTGTGTGCACCTGTTTCTCAGGAAGATCAGACTCATGAGAATCAGGTGTCCTGGATTTCTTCACAGGTGGGAGAGGTTATTCCAGGGTGACCGGCAGGGCACCAGGATGCCAAGCAATGAGGACTGTGATTTCCCTTTTTGTTTCCAGGGTTATTGGGTGTTGTTTAATCTGAACAGGGGTAGCTGAGCTGGTTAGTTGAACAATTATAGGATCTTGGAATAGGGCCAGTCCTGGGGGCTTGATTTTTGCCCATACTTTTGAGAACCTTTGGAGGCAGAACTTTTGTTATTGTTGGGTTTTTTTGTTTTTCAAGACAAAGTTTCTCTGTGTAACAGCCCTAGTTGTCCTGGAACTTGCTCTGTAGACCAGGCTCGAACTCACAGAAATCCACCTGTGGAGGCAGAACTTTCATCTAGAGGGCATTCTTTTGACAGAGGGTATCTATAAGTCTTTGTCTCATCAACAAAAGACACAGTGGCCTTCAGTTTATGCAGAAGGTCTTGTCTCTTGGTCAGTTCTCTGTTGTTAAATACCTTTTGAGCTACCTCCAACACCTGGGATCTCCTTAGACCTTAACATTTTTTTAAGTTTTATAACTTTTCCCTAGTATCTGGGGCCAACTGGGTGACAAAGGAAGTTTTTTTTTCCCCATTTATCTTCAATTTTTCTAGAAAGGATGAAAGGCTTTTAAAATCTCATTGGTCAGGGTTGGACAGAGGGAACAATCCATTTTATCTAGGCCGTATTGTCTGGCAGTGATCTCAAGCCCCTACCCCAGCCCAGGGCCAAGTTTTTGAATTTTTTTTCAGAGGGACAACCAGGGACTATGAATGGGAGGCAAGTGACAAGGCAAATGAGCATTCCAGGAGTGGCAGATTTATTCATTGATAAGAGAGATTATTGCTTGGTTTCAACAGCTTTTTTTCCAGTTTTTAAAAGGAAGATCTATCTAACAAGTTTCACTTACTACAATACATCTAAACGGAACTCACAATACAAGGTAAGATTTAGATCAAAGCCTCAGAATTCCATACAAACAACATAGCCAAACTTCTGAAGTATTGGTATTACATCTCAAAATTGTCCCAGATCTTTAAAAAAAGTGAGAGTGTATACTCACGTGCTTTAAGGATATTAAAATAAAAAGCTAGAACAAACATGTCAAATGTTGTCACTTTGAATCATAGACACAGCTCCTATATTTGATTTTTTTTTGTTTTTTTCCTTCAAGACAGGGTTTCTCTGTATTATTTTGGAGCCAGTCCTGGAACTCGCTTGGTAGCCTATATTTGATTTTTACAGAAAAGCATCTGAAGGTTTTGATGAATTGTGGTATAAGAGCAACATTTAATGTAAGCGAAACTGTTTTAAACTTAAATATGCTTACTGTTTAAGCACACTCCTACAACATAACTAACTTGAGGAAAGTTGAAAGTGGATTTAACAGTTATGGTCAATACTGAACTTGTTATTATGTCCTATATGAATATTTCAGTGTTCAAAATTGCTGAGCTTAAAGTTTGAAAACAATCTTAACTTTCACTTTACAGTAAGCATGAATCACAAGCTTGTAATGCAAAACAGTTAGTGATCAGAAGCAATTGTATTTCCCATTTGCCGATCATACTGGATATACTGGGTATCCTTCCTACTCCATCCAGTTCCTATAAATGACAGCTTTTATTCCTGGAGCTGTCTGGTGTTCCTTCTCTCCTAAGCAAGGTTTGACTGATAGTCACTTGAGTTTTCCTGAAGAACTTGGTCATATCCACTCATACTGCTCTGACCACCATAACCACAACCATAACCACCACTCAGCTGCTGGCTGTCAGGACCTCCATAACTAGACTGGTTGGATAAACCCATCCCTCCCATCATCTGGCTACCATAAACACCACAGGTTGCCCCTGCTGTAGAATTCAAAAACAGTTCTACGTAGCTATGATCGTAAGCTCCTCCGACATTCCTGAGAAACAGTAGTTAGGTCTCTTCCAAATCTATCAAACCCCAAACCATACCCATCATTATAGCCTCCATAGTCATCAGTCTCCATATCCTCCACCATAGGTACCCCGCCTCATTCTTTCAAACCCAGCGCCTCTGCCAATGCTGTTATACCCTCTTCGAGCCCCTGGCTTATCACAAGGACACAGACACTGAATAGTCATAAGCTTTCGAGGGGGCTCATAGTGGGTTCAGACTTCAGCTCTGCTACTCTTGAAGATTTCAATGTACCTGTGCCCTATTTTTTCCTTGTGTTTCTTTAAGGCCTTTTCAGCTATCTCCTGTGAAGCAAACTGCACGAAAGCCTCCCCTGTGCTCTGCCCCTGAAAGTCCACCGGCAGTGTCATCCCATTTGGCACAATTTCCAACCCTGAATAGAACTGAACAATTTCTTCCTTGCTACAGCCAAATGGGAGTCCTCTAAGCAGTACAAAACCATTATTGGCAGTATCAGGACTATTTGGATCGGTTTGCTTTAACACCCAATCCATTTCAACACTGTTGGACTTGAATACTTCAACATATCTCTGTCACATGGTTTCTCTGACTTTCTTTAAAGCCAATTTCACTTCATCTTCAGATTCAAGTTCGACAAATGCTTCACCGCTCGGTCTGCCTTCTCTGGTATACATGAAATGAACACCTGATATACCATTTTGGATTTTGCAATCAGAGAAGAGGCGCATCACTTCCTCAGCTGAGGAGGACCAGGGTTGGCCCCTGACCTTCACCACGAACCCCTCCCCACCCTCTGTGCTCAGCATCATGGTGACTGTTGGGCTCTTGGTGGCAAGCTTGGCTCAACACAATTTCAATGTGGCCTTTGACCCTGCTAGAGCTTCTTCCAGGAGACTCTGGTCGACAGAAATACTTAAAGTGTTTGCTACAGCACTCCAATGAGACTGGGGGATTACCCTCCTTCTTCCCTCAAACAGCTAAAGCAAGAGGAGACACGACGACCTGCTCACGTAAGCAATTGATCACAACCACATCCTTGAATAACTTTTTTTCTTTTCTCTTTTAGACAGGGTTATTACATAGACCAAGATAGTCTCAAACTTAGAGATTTTCTGACTCCCAAGTGCTGAGTTTAAAGGCCTTTTGCCTCTTCACCTAGTCTCAAACAACGTCTTCACATTAGAAATTTATTCTAACCTTTTCGAGACAGGGTTTCTTTGGGTAGCTTTGAGCTTTGGAACCTGTCCTGGAACTTACTCTGTAGATCAGGCAGGTCTCAGACTCCCAGAGATCCCCCTACCTCTGCTTCCTAAGTGCCTGGATTAAAGGCGTATGCTGCCAATTCCTAGTCAGAGTCTAATCCTCATTGCAAGCAGAACATTACAGCTATCCACACTTTGTATATTACAGCTATCCATGCTTTTTTATGGACTGATGGTTTCTGGTGCTGAGTGGAAACTACTTGTGCATCTTTTCATGGTTCCTTAGGTGATCTGATCGTGCAAAGTTCTTGTTGCACTTTGGACACGGGTAGGGCCTCAACCCGGTGTGCTTTCTCTTGTGTCGGTTGAGCTCGTCTGAGCGGGAGAATTTCCATGAGCATCCAGGCATGGTACATTTGTAGGGCTTCTCCCCTGAACCAGAAAGAAAGAGCGGCTTGTTACACTCAGGGAAAGGTGGGTCAGGAGTCTTGTCAGTAACCAAGGACAAGGTTAAAGGAGACAGAGAAAGAAGACTGAAGTATGAAAAGGGATAGCTGGAGAGAAAGATGAATTGGAAAGATAAGAAGTAACCTTTGGAGGGTCGGGAAGGAAGAAAAACAGCAAGAGGAGGTAAAGGAGAAGGAATGAGAAAGAAGAAAGCCAATGAAGGAATGAATAACAAACAGAAAAGGAAGAGGTCCAAGAAGAGACAGTTCCCTTCAGAGGTAGAGTGAAATGTCTGAGTTGGGCATATGCCAATAGCCCTAGATACTTGGTGGCTCAGGTGGGAGGATTTACCTGAACCATGGTGTTGAGACCAGTGTGGACAACATAGTGCAATCAAGCTTTCCAAGGGATAAAAACAAAAACAAAAAACGAAACCCAACAACAAGCCTATGAACCTCCAAAGGGACCAAAACAACACCTCACTTATCCCATCATGTAGCACAAGGGACACCACAGAAGACTGGCCCAGTCTGACACTGGCCCAGGGCCTGAACTACTAATAAACCCTCTTTATCCACCTTCAAACTTGAATACCTTCTCCAGGGTCTCCTTGCTTCCGGACTTGCAGAAGTGGCAATCATCTCAAATATCAAAGCCCTGTAAAGGCACAGCCCTGTGGCCACTTTACCCACCCCCCCTATAGACAGACCCTCACTCACCAGTGTGTTTGCGTATATGGGCTCGGAGGTGGGAAGATTTTGAGTATGCCTGTCCACAGTTCTCATAAGTGCACACGTGGGACTTCCGATTGTTCCTCTGTACCTGAGGGGTTGGAGTCTTGGGGTCCTTCTCATCCAGATTTCTTTGGACCAAAGGAAAGCTTGAAGAGCATTCTGGAGGTTGTCCTTGGGCCAAATGAGAATTTGGAATGTATGGAAATCTGTTATCATAGGATATCTGGTTTCCATAAAAGGTCTGGTCACCACAGGAAGTTGTCCTCTGACTTCTGTAGAGAGCCTGGTTACCATTGAAGGACATTGCCTGACACCCAAAGAAGACCTGGTCAACATTGGGGGCTGTCATCTGAGCCCCAGAGAAAGTCTGGTTATCATTGGGGAGTGTCATCTGAGGCCTATAGGTCACCTCATCAGTGGCAGTTGTCATCTGACCCCCGAAGAAAGTCTGGTTATCATTGGGGAGTGTCATCTGAGGCCTATAGGTCACCTCATCAGTGGCAGTTGTCATCTGAGCCCCAGAGAAAGTCTGGTTATCATTGGGGAGTGTCATCTGAGGCCTATAGGTCACCTCATCAGTGGCAGTTGTCATCTGAGCCCCAGAGAAAGTCTGGTTATCATTGGGGAGTGTCATCTGAGGCCTATAGGTCACCTCATCAGTTGCAGTTGTCATCTGAGCCCCAGAGAAAGTCTGGTTATCATTGGGGAGTGTCATCTGAGGCCTATAGGTCACCTCATCAGTGGCAGTTGTCATCTGAGCCCCAGAGAAAGTCTGGTTATCATTGGGGAGTGTCATCTGAGGCCTATAGGTCACCTCATCAGTGGCAGTTGTCATCTGACCCCCGAAGAAAGTCTGGTTATCATTGGGGAGTGTCATCTGAGGCCTATAGGTCACCTCATCAGTTGCAGTTGTCATCTGAGCCCCAGAGAAAGTCTGGTTATCATTGGGGAGTGTCATCTGAGACCTATAGGTCACCTCATCAGTGGTAGTTGTCATCTGAGCCCCAGAGAAAGTCTGGTTATCATTGGGGAGTGTCATCTGAGGCCTATAGGTCACCTCATCAGTGGCAGTTGTCATCTGACCCCCGAAGAAAGTCTGGTTATCATTGTGGAGTGTCATCTGAGGCCTATAGGTCACCTCATCAGTGGCAGTTGTCATCTGAGCCCCAGAGAAAGTCTGGTTATCATTGTGGAGTGTCATCTGAGGCCTATAGGTCACCTCATCAGTGGCAGTTGTCATCTGACCCCCAAAGAAAGTCTGGTTATCATTGGGGAGTGTCATCTGAGGCCTATAGGTCACCTCATCAGTGGCAGTTGTCATCTGACCCCCGAAGAAAGTCTGGTTATCATTGTGGAGTGTCATCTGAGGCCTATAGGTCACCTCATCAGTGGCAGTTGTCATCTGAGCCCCAGAGAAAGTCTGGTTATCATTGGGGAGTGTCATCTGAGGCCTATAGGTCACCTTATCAGTGGCAGTTGTCATCTGACCCCCGAAGAAAGTCTGGTTATCATTGGGGAGTGTCATCTGAGGCCTATAGGTCACCTCATCAGTGGTAGTTGTCATCTGAGCCCCAGAGAAAGTCTGGTTATCATTGGGGAGTGTCATCTGAGACCTATAGGTCACCTCATCAGTGGCAGTTGTCATCTGAGCCCCAGAGAAAGTCTGGTTATCATTGGGGAGTGTCATCTGAGGCCTATAGGTCACCTCATCAGTGGCAGTTGTCATCTGACCCCCGAAGAAAGTCTGGTTATCATTGGGGAGTGTCATCTGAGGCCTATAGGTCACCTCATCAGTGGCAGTTGTCATCTGAGCCCCAGAGAAAATCTGGTTATCATTGGGGAGTGTCATCTGAGGCCTATAGGTCACCTCATCAGTGGCAGTTGTCATCTGACCCCCAAAGAAAGTCTGGTTATCATTGGGGAGTGTCATCTGAGGCCTATAGGTCACCTCATCAGTGGCAGTTGTCATCTGACCCCCAAAGAAAGTCTGGTTATCATTGGGGAGTGTCATCTGAGGCCTATAGGTCACCTCATCAGTGGCAGTTGTCATCTGACCCCCAAAGAAAGTCTGGTTATCATTGGGGAGTGTCATCTGAGGCCTATAGGTCACCTCATCAGTGGCAGTTGTCATCTGACCCCCAAAGAAAGTCTGGTTATCATTGGGGAGTGTCATCTGAGACCTATAGGTCACCTCATCAGTGGCAGTTGTCATCTGAGCCCCAGAGAAAGTCTGGTTATCATTGTGGAGAGTCATCTGAGACCTATAGGTCACTTCATCAGTGGCAGTTGTCATCTGAGCCCCAGAGAAAGTCTGGTTATCATTGGGGAGTGTCATCTGAGGCCTATAGGTCACCTCATCAGTGGCAGTTGTCATCTGACCCCCGAAGAAAGTCTGGTTATCATTGGGGAGTGTCATCTGAGACCTATAGGTCACCTCATCAGTGGCAGTTGTCATCTGAGCCCCAGAGAAAGTCTGGTTATCATTGGGGAGTGTCATCTGAGACCTATAGGTCACCTCATCAGTGGCAGTTGTCATCTGACCCCCGAAGAAAGTCTGGTTATCATTGGGGAGTGTCATCTGAGGCCTATAGGTCACCTCATCAGTGGCAGTTGTCATCTGAGCCCCAGAGAAAATCTGGTTATCATTGGGGAGTGTCATCTGAGGCCTATAGGTCACCTCATCAGTGGCAGTTGTCATCTGACCCCCAAAGAAAGTCTGGTTATCATTGTGGAGAGTCATCTGAGACCTATAGGTCACCTCATCAATGGCAGTTGTCATCTGAGCCCCAGAGAAAGTCTGGTTATCATTGGGGAGTGTCATCTGAGGCCTATAGGTCACCTCATCAGTGGCAGTTGTCATCTGAGCCCCAGAGAAAGTCTGGTTATCATTGGGGAGTGTCATCTGAGGCCTATAGGTCACCTCATCAGTGGCAGTTGTCATCTGACCCCCAAAGAAAGTCTGGTTATCATTGGGGAGTGTCACCTGAGCCCCATAGTTTAGATATTCAGTGGTGGTTGTGATCTGACTCCTGTAGAGAGGCTGGTTACCACTGAGGGGTATCATTTGACCCTTATAGTAGGTTTGATTGCCACTGAGAGTTCCCATATCATCTCTGTAGACATTCTGGTCACCATTGAGGGTCATCTTCTGATTCCCATGACAATTCTGGTCAGCATTAAAGGTCATCATTTGACCCCAGTCGAAGTCTTGGTCACCCCCAGAAGTGATTGGACAGCCTTCCAATGGGGTTTGGTCACCACTGAAGTTCATCAAGTTGCCCTCGTTAGGAGTTGCTAGCTGGCTTCTGCAGGGAGGAGCTTGCTTGACACAGAGAGTGTTTATTTGACTGCCTTCGTTGGAGACTGTTACCTTGCTTTCTGTGACTGTTGTATCATTGGCATCTGTCTGCTGAGAGCTTGCTGTGGGTGTCGTTTGATCAGCAGGCACAGCTTGTTGGGATATAGGAACAGCCTTACCTTGTTTTGCAAGGGGCCTAGCAGGGGCTTTTCTACGGCGTGTTGAGTTGTGTTGAGAAAGGACCTTCTGGAGGATAGGATATTTAGAGGTCTTCTTTGTGGAACTACAGGAAGCCATGCTCTGGTCTGACTTACACAGGGCTGTGCTGTTATGACAACTGTCCTTTATGGAGTATCTGAGCGGCATACAGGTCTGAGGCTTAGCTGGGGCTTGTGCCAGTCCTTATCAGAATGAAGATTTGGAGAAACTCAAGTTCTTCGGATGTTTTGGGCGATGGAGTTGAGCTTTTTGTTGAAATAGATTTTCAGTTGTGAGGACCTAAAAAGAAAAATTAGAAAGCCAACCTAGCTCAACGCTCAGTCTTTACAGCACTCACTCTTCATCCTCACTAATGCCCTGTCAATCCACCCCACCATCGTTTCTTACTTAACAGGGTCTCACTGCCTCTCAAACAGCCTCTCTGACTCTGGAATTGACTGCCCACCGCACCCTTCATACACACACAGTCACATCCCTTAAGTATGCACCTAACAATGATGGAGCTCTATCTAAATGAAGCAAGAGTGTCCCCCAAATCCCTATGCACTAGCTGAGGCTAGCAGACTGCAGCTCCCACCCTGGCGTGGGCCTGTTTCCAGCCTGCCTTCTGGTGCCCTGCGCAGAACCACCAGAGACCTGGGGACTGCACACTGTAGATCCCATCCTGACAGGGTCCAGCCTACCTAAAGACTGCCAAGGCCCTGGTACTAAGACAGCCTCCATCCATGCAAAGAGGAGAGCCACCAGAGTATTGGACCTGCTTGCACTGTGGTCATGTACCCTCCAGGAGAGGAAGAGTCTCCTTCTGCACCCACTGGAAGAAGTGATAAGAAGGAGACAATATAAAAACACACCCAAGGAAAGGAGAGGGAACTGGGATTGACATGTGAAGCAAATTTGTTTCTAATTTAAATTTTAAAAAATGAAAAAAATAAAACCACACTCAGGAACAGAAAAACCAATATGACACCGCCAGAGTCTAGAGACTACACCAGCAAGAGGTGAACACCCCAAGGCAGATGAAACAGAAGACAATGACCTTAAAAACAACTTTATGAAAGTGATAGAGGCCCTCAAAGAGGATATGAGAAAATCCCTTAAAGAAATGGAAGAAAAAAACAAACCAAAAAATGCAAGAAATGAAAGAAAAACAAACCAAAAAATTCAAGAAAGCGAGGAAAAGACAAAGCAAAAATTGCAAGAAATAATTCAAACAGTGCAAGGGTTGAAAGCTGAAATAGAGACAATTTAAAAAAACAGTCCAGCCATGCAGTGGTGGCGCATGCCTTTAATCCCAGCACATGGGAGGCAGAAGCAGGCAGATCTCTGTGAGTTTGAGACCAGCCTGGTCTACAAGAGCTAGTTCCAGGACAGCCTCCAAAGCCACAGAGAAACCCTGTCTCGAAAAACAAAACAAACAACAAAAACAAAAACACAGTCTGAAGGAAAGCTGGAAATAGAAAAACTGGGCAAATGGTCAGGTACTACAGATGCAAGCATAACCAACAGAATACAAGAGATGGAAGAGAGAATCTCAGGTGTTGAAGATACACTAGGAGAAATAGATTCATCGACTAAAAATCTTTTTTCCCCCTTTGTTTTTTCGAGACAGGGTTTCTCTGTATTGTTTTGGAGGCTGTCCTGGAACTCTCTCTGTTGACCAGGCTGGCCTCAAACTCAGAGATCCACCTGCCTCTGCTTCCCAAGTGCTGGGATTAAAGGTGTGAGCCACCAACGCCCAGCCCAAAGAAAATCTTAAATTCAACAAATCCCTAACACAAAATATCCAGGAAATATGGGACACCATGAAAAGACCAAACCTAAGAATAATAGGTATAGAAGAAGGTGAAGAAAACCACCTCAAAGGGGCAGAACACATATTCAACAAAATCATAGAAGAAAAGTTTCCCAACCTAAAGAGAGACATGCCAATGAAGGTACAAGAAACTTACAGAACACCAAATAGAGTGGACCACAAAAAAATCCCCTCATCACATAATAAATACACCAAACATACAGAATAAAGAATATTAAGAGCAACTAAGGAAAAAGGTCAAGTAACATACAAAGCCAAACCTATCAGAATTACACCTGACTTCTCCATGGAAACTCTGAAAGCCAGAAGTCCTGGATAGATATACTACCAACACTAAGAGACCACGGACGCCAGCCCAGACTACTGTATCCAGAAAAGCTTTCAATCACTATAGATGGAGAAAACAAGATAGTCCATGACAAAACTAGATTCAAGCAATGCATATCCACTAACCCAGCCCTACAGTAAGATCTGGAAGGAAAACTCCAATCCAGGGAAGTTAACTACAACCAGAAAAACATAGGTAATAGATAATCCCACTTTACCAGCAGTCAAAAGAAAAAAGAGATGAAAATCCACACAGAATTCCAACAACAACAACAACTCCAAAACAAACAAAAATGAGCAATCAATGGTCATTAATATCCCTCAATATTAATGGCCTTAATTTGCCCATAAAAAAAGACACAAGCTAACAGAATGGATTCAAAGACAGAATTCATCCTGCTTCACAAAAGAAACACACCTCAGATTCAATGACAGACATTACCTCAGAGTTAAGGGTTGGGAAAAGATCTTTCAATCAAATGGACCCAAGAAACGAGCGGGAGTAGCAATCCTAATATCTAACATTATATTTTAAGCTAAAATCAAAAGAGATGAAGGTCTTTGCCAAACTAATATCTAACAAATTATACTTTAAGCTAAAAACAAAAGAGATGAAGGCCTTTGCCAAACTCTTTTTACAAGGCTTAAATAACCTTGATACCCAAGCCACACAAAGACTCAACTAAGAATGAGAATTTCAGATTAATATCCTCCAAGAACATTGATGCAAAAATACCCAATAAAATACTGGCAAATCGGATCCAAGAACACATCAGAAAACTCATCCACCATGATCAAGTAGGTTTCATTCCAGGGATACAGGGATGGTTCAACATATGAAAATCCATCAATGTAATCCACCATATAAACAAGCTGAGAAATAAAAATTACATGATCATCTCACTAGATGCTGAAAAAGCCTTTGACAAAATCCAACACCCCTTCATGATAAAGTCTTGGAGAGATCTGGAATAACAGGAACATAACTAAACATAATAAAAGCTATATACAGCAAACCAACAGCCAACAAACTAAATTGAGAGAAACTCAATTCGATTCTTCTAAAATCAGAAATAAGACAAGGCTGTCCACTCTCTCCATACCTCTTCAATATTGTACTTGAAGTTCTAGTTAGAGCAATAAGACAACAAAAGGAGATCAAGGGAATACAAATTGGAAAGGAAGATGATATGATAGTTTACATAAGTGATCCAAAAAACTCTACCATGGAACTCCTACAGCTGATAAATAACTTCAGCAAAGTGGCAGGATACAAGATCAACTCAAGAAAATCAGTAGCCCTACTATATACAGATGACAAAAGGGCTGAGAAAGAAATCAGAAAAGATTCTGGCTGTTGATCTCCCCAGGTACTATCATCTTGTCAGATTTGAGTCGAAATGTCCTACATCCCGGGTCACCACCAGAGTGCAAAGAGTGGAAATTCATAAGTTGTGTCAAGGTGAGAACTTAATCCTGGGCTTCAGTATTGGAGGTGGGATCGACTTTCTCGGAAGATAAAACAGACAAGGGCATTTACGTCACACGAGTATCTGAGGAAGGAGGCCCTGCTGAAATTTCTGGGCTGCAGATTGGAGACAAGATCATGCAGGTGAACGGCTGGGACATGACCATGGTCACGCATGACCAGTCTCAGAAGCGGCTCACCAAATGCTTGGAGGAGGTGGTGTGCCTGCTGGTGACCCCGCAGTCTCTGCAGAAGGTTGTACAGTAGTCCATTCTGTCTTAGCAGTCAGCCAGTCTTGACTTGTACCCACCCACCTTTTTGTATAGTGACAACACATCCATGCTCTGTATCTTGTTCTGGCTTCTGCTGTGCTCTGGGTCCCAGCTCTGAGGGGTAACAGCTGATCCCAAGGTCCAAGCCAACCTTCCTACCCCTCAACCCCCAGGCTGAGTCCGTGGGATCAGCTCTCTCTGGGATGCTGAGGACTGGAAATAAGGGCTTGGAGTAGTATCCAGTCTGAAGTTACCATAGGCTCGGCCTGAGACCCACCACTTGGCCACAACAAGGGCTGAGCAGCCAGGAAACACCTGAGAGCTGCCAAAGCTTGGAAATGCCAGGTAGGGCCATGAGTCCCCATTTGCTCTGACTGAAGGGTTTGGCCCTGTCCTTCCTCAGTGTCTCTCTCCATGCTTCCCCATCACTAGGCCCAGCCTGGGGCTGGACCCACATATGCCAGAGACTGTATGAAGGCCACCTGGATGGAAGAGGGCAGGTTCCCACTACCTTCATTTCCCTAATTGGTGCTGGCCTCTCCAGGAGCTGCCTGTTTAAACAATTTATACAAGTTTCAAGACTGACATTTCAGGGCAGCTCTCAGGATTGCCATTCTTTTTCTCTACACCCGTGAGTTTAGCTTTTGTATTTTTTAAGTCACAACTTTGATACAAAGTGTTTTTATCTTACTGTTTGGAAAAGCCAATTCTCCTTTTGAATTTAGCTTAACTAATTCACACACCTGGAAGCAGCAACTTGTAGCATGTAACTAAGCCAATTGATTACTATGGAAATGGGGCAGTATGATGCTACCCCATGCTCAACACTTGTGTCCAATAAACAATGCTGGAATTAAAAAAAAGTAAAGAAATCAGAGAAACATCACCCTTTACAATAGGCACAAACAACATAAAAAACTTTGGGGTAACGCAAACCAAACAAGTGAAAGACCTGTATTGCAAGAACTTTGGGTATTTAAAGAAAGAAATTAAAGAAGACACCAGAAAATGGAAAGATCTCCCATGCTCTTGGGTAGGTAGGATCAACATAGTAAAAATGGCAATCTTGCCTTCCAGGCCCCAAACTCCAGCAATCCCAGCCAGGTGAGCTTGGGTCTGAGGGGGAGGGGGACAGGGGACACTCCCATCCTCAGCCCCACACACATCCCTTCGATCTTTGGGGGCCACTCCTGGCATCCAGAAGACCCGCCCACACAGGAAAGACATCAGCCCTTCCAGGCCCCAAACTCCAGCGATCTCAGCTTCAGCTTCAGGAAGGAAGGAGACCAGTGGAGACAGAAAGACCCCAGCAGCACCCACTGGAAGAAGAGATGGGAAGAAGACAGAATAAGAGCTCACTCAGCAGTCAAAAGACCAACATGACTCCACCAGAATCTAGGGAACCAACGCCAGCAAGACCTGAAAAGCACTACATAGATGAAGCAGAGGAGACAGACCTTAAAAATAATTTTGTGAAGATGATAGAGACCCTCAAAAGAAGAAACGAGGAAATCCCTTAAAGAAATAGAGGAAAACCAAACAAAAAAATCCATGAAATGGGGGAAATTTTCAAGAAATAAACAAATCTCTCAAAGAATCTAAAGAGTACCAAGAAAAAACAACCAAACAAATGAAGGAAACAACTCAAACAGTTGAAGGATTGAAAGCTGAAATAGAAACAATAAAGAAAACACAGAACAAGGGGATGCTGGAAATGGAAAAGCTGGGTAAACGATCAGGAACTACAGATGCAAGTATCAACAATAGAATACAGGAGATAAAAGAGAGAATCTCAGGTGTTGAAGACTCATTAGAGGATATACAGTCGTCAACCAAAGAAAATCTCAAAACCAACAAATCCCTAACACAAAATATCCAGGAAATATGAGACACCGTGAAGAAGCCAAACCTGAGAATAATAGGTATAGAAGAAGGCGAAGAAATACAGCTCAAAGGTACAGAAAACATATTCAACAAAATCATAGACGAAAACTTCCCTAACCTAAAGAAGGATATGCCTATGAAAATACAAGAATCTTACAGAACACCAAATAGGCTGGACCAGAAAAAGAAGTCACCTCACCATATAATAATCAAAACATCAAAACTACAGAATAAAGAGAAAATATTAAGAGCAGCTAAAGAAAAAGGCCAAGTAACATATAAAGGCAGACCTATCCGAATTACACCTGACTTCTCAATGGAAACGAAAGCCAGAAGATCCTGGACAGATGTCCTACAAACGCTAAGGGAACAAGGATGCCAGCCCAGACTACTATATCCAGCAAAGCTTTAAATTACCATAGATGGAGAAAACAAACTATTCCATGACAAAGCCAGATTTAAACAATATGTATCCATGAATCCAGCTCAACAGAAAGTGCTAGAAGGAAAACCTAGATCCAAGGAAGATAACTACACTCACAAAGACACAGGCAATAAATAATCCCACTTTACAAAACACCAAAAGAAAAAGGGAGGAGAAACTACACAAAATAACTTCACTACCAATAAATCAAGCACAAACAAGAATCATCAATCAGTGGTCATTGATATCCCTCAATGTCAACGGCCTCAACTTGCCTATAAAAAGACACAGACTAGCAGACTGGATACGAAGAGAGAACCCATCCTTCTGCTGCATACAAGAAACACATCTCAACATCAAAGACAGACGGTATCTCAGAGTAAAGGGTTGGGAAAAGATTTTCTAATCAAACGGACCCAAGAAACAAGCGGGTGTAGCAATCCTAATATCTAACAAACTAGACTTCAAATTAAAATCAATCAAAGGCCGGGCGTTGGTGGTGCACGCCTTTAATCCCAGCACTTGGGAGGCAGAGGCAGGCGGATCTCTGTGAGTTCGAGACCAGCTTGGTCTACAAGAGCTAGTTCCAGGACAGCCTCCAAAGCCACAGAGAAACCCAGTCTCGAAAAACCAAAAAATAAAAAAATAAAAATAAAAACAATCAAAAGAGATAAAGAAGGACATTTCATATTCAAAGGAAAAGTCCATCAAGATGAAGTCTCAATTTTAAACATCTACGCCCCAAATACAAAGGCACCTACATTTGTGAAAGAAACATTACTAAAGCTCAAATTGCACATAAAATCTCACACACTAATAGTAGGAGACTTCAACACTCCGCTCTCACTGCTAGACAGGACCTCCAGACAGAAACTTAACAAAGAAACAAAAGAACTAATAGAAGTTATGACCCAGCTGGGTTTAACAGACGTCTATAGAACATTCCACTCAAACACAAAGGGATATACCGTCTTCTCGGCACCACATGGAACCTTCTCTAAAATTGACCACATAATAGGAAACATAGCAAATCTCCACAGATACAAAAAAAAATTGGAATAACCCCCTGTATCTTATCAGACCACCAAGCATTAAAATTAGAATTCAACAATAACACAAATCGCAGAAACCCTACAAACTCATGGAAATTGAACAATGCACAATTTCACCATCCCTGGGTAAAGGAAGAAATAAAAAAAAGAAATTAAAGACTTCCTGGAATTCAATGAGAATGAAGACACAACATACACAAACTTATGGGACACTTTGAAAGCAGTGCTGAGAGGAAATTTCATAGCACTAAGTGCCCACATGAAGAAACTGGAGAACAGTCATACTAGAGAATTAATAGCACAGCTGAACGTTCTAGAACAAAAAGAAGCAAACTCACCCAGGAGGAGCAGACGCCAGGAAATAATCAAATTGAGGGCTGAAGAAATCAATCAAGTAGAAACCAGGAAAACATTGAGAAGAATCAATGAAACAAAGAGTTGGTTCTTTGAGAAAATCAACAAAATAGACAAACCTCTGTCCAAACCAACCAAAAGACAGAGAGAGAGCATGCTAATTAACAAAATCAGAAATGAAAAAGGGGATATAACAACGGACTCTGAGGAAATCCAGAGAATCATCAGGGCACACTTTGAAAATCTGTACTCCACTAAATTTGAAAATTTAAAGTAAATGGACAATTTCCTGGATAGATATCACTTGCCAAAACTAAATCAAGAGCAAAACAATCTAAACAGACCTATAACCCTTAATGAAATAGAAGCAGTCATCAAAAGTCTCCCAAACAAAAAAAGCCCAGGCCCAGATGGCTTCAGTGCAGAATTCTACCAGAAATTCAAAGAAGAGCTAATTCTAATACTCCTCAAAGTATTCCACACAATAGAAGCAGGAGGCTCACTGCCAAACTCTTTTTACTAGGCTACAATTACCTTGATACCCAAGCCACACAAAGACACAACTAAGAAAGAGAACTATAGACCAATTTCCCTCATGAACATCGATGCAAAAATACTCAATAAAATACTAGCAAACCGGATTCAAGAACACATCAGAAAAATCATCCACCATGATCAAGTAGGCTTCATCCCAGGAATGCAGGGATGGTTCAACATTGGAAAATCTATCAATGTAATCCACCATATAAACAACCTGAAAAACAAAAACCACATGATCATCTCACTAGATGCTGAAAAAGCCTTTGACAAAATCTAGCACCCCTTCATGATAAAGGACTTGGAGAGATCTGGGATAACAGGAACATACCTAAACATAATAAAAGCAATATACAATAAACCAACAGCTAACATCAAACTAAACGGAGAAAATCAGGAACAAGACAAGGCTGTCCACTCTCTCCATATCTCTTCAATATTGTACTTGAAGTTCTAGCTACAGCAATAAGACAACAAAAGGAGATCAAGGGGATACAAATAGGAAAAGAAGAAGTCAAGCTTTCACTATTTGCAGATGATACGATAGTTTATATAAGTGACTAAAAAACTCCGCAAGGGAACTCCTAGAACTGATAAACACTTTCAGCAAAGTGGCAGGATACAAGGTAAACTCAAAAAAATTAGTGGCCCCATTATACAGACGATGAAGTGACTGAGAAAAAAATCAGAGAAACCTCACCCTTTACAATAGCCATAAACAGCATCAAATATCTGGGGATAATGTTAACCAAGGAAGTGAAAGACCTGTATATCAAGAACTTTGAGTCTTTAAAGAAAGAAATCAAAGAGGATACCAGAAAATGGAAAAATCTCCCATGCTCTTGGATTGGTAGGATCAACATAACAAAAATGGCAATCTTGCCAAAAGCAGTCTACAGATTCAATGCAATCCCTATCAAAATTCTGGCACAATTCTTCACAGACCTGGAAAGAACATTAATCAACTTTATATGGAAAAACAAAAGGCCCAGGATAGCCAAAACAACCCTATACAATAAAGGAACTTCAGGAGGCATCACTACACCTGACTTCAAGCTCTATTATAGAGCTATAGTCCTGAGAACAGCTTGGTATTGGCACAAAAATAGGCAGGTAGACCAATGGAACCGAATTGAAAACCCTGATTTTAACCCACACACCTATGAACACTTGATTTTTGACAAAGAAGCTAAAACTATACAATGGAAAAAAGAAAGCATCTTCAACAAATGGTGCTGGCATAACTGGGTACTGGTATGC